GTTCGATTGCTTGAAACCCTGAAACAGATTCAGTCTTTCACTTCGGTAATGCTTGTTGAACGGCATGTCAGCCCCCCCCGCTCATAGATTGGAGCTGTCTCTTATACACATCTAGATGTGTATAAGAGACAGGAGGAGGTGATGGCGGTTGGTGGGGCTGGGCTATTGGTGCTGATGAGCAGGCAGTTAAGGAATGTGAGTTGGCCATTCAGTTGGACCCCAACTTTGCGAGAGCGCATCAACGGCTGGGGGGATTGCTTACCCGGTTTGGCAAATTGGATGAGGCGATGTGGCACCTGCACAAGAGTGAAGAGCTTGGGGCAGAGAGAAGCGACACGGGAAAAGTGGGCACTCTGCAGGAACACATTTCAAAGGCTGGCACAGCCACTGCCAACCAGGATTGGGATGAAGCACTTAGGCAGGCAGAAATGGCGATACAGGCGGGCGCTGATCTGACCATGGATGTGTGGAAGATCAGAGTGAAAGCTCTTCTGCAACTTCGCCGTCTAGGTATGGGCAAAGTGCTGGACATTCACTTGAGCAGCATAAACACATGTTTAAAAACCAACACCCAACACTACCTTTGAGGCTTGAGCTTCCTCTTCCCGTGGCCGGTTTCTGCTGCCCACCAAGTCCAGAACAAACCAGCACGACACTCTTCGTTTTTTCTTTTTTGCTGGCATCACCTGCGGAATAGGTCCAAGAGGCCGAGCGCCTGAAGAATGTGGGTGAAAACACCAACAATTCATTGCAAAAGTTTGCCTGCGAGAGGTAGTGGTGGTGGTTTAAACTGTGATGTTAGAAACAGATATGGTTTTCGGTATTTTGCCCTTTTTCGGAAGTTTTCCGTCATTCATTCTGTTTTTTTATTTCTTGTTTAGTAGAAACAAATCGTGCTCCTTTTGAGCTCGTAAGATGGAATGTTTTCTCCCTCAACATTTTTTTATGCAGCGAAAGTCTTCGATTCATCTCCTGGCAAGTATGTGAGAGCTCAAACCACCACTCCAACAGCACCTGCACTGCTCATTTTTCTTGTCTTCTAGTACCAGGCCAAAATCTACACTGCGAGGTTCGGTGGGGAAGGGTACCACAATCATTTTTCGTCACCGCCGCACTGTAGATTATAGGCTCGGGGAAATGCAAATTTTGTTTTGTCGAACAGAACCGGATGGAGTGGTGGCTTAATAGATAGATAGATAGATACAAGTAAAGGATTTCAATTTTCAAATGATATTATCGGGAGAGTTAGATCATCTACCTCCACAGGCACATATTGTGCACACAGGATAGGGCACAGACAAATCAGGACACCACATTTTTAAAAACATAGGCCATGCATAATCCAGGACATGAGCTATCAGCGTCTCTCCAGAGGCAAGAGACCATGTCTACCATCTGGAAAGAAAACCACACAGCAGCAAGTCACCGGCGAGTCAGCAGCAGCTCCGTGGATGCCCTAAAGAGTCCTCATGATGATGCCCTGTATCTCTCCTTGGGTGGCCATTTGTGAATCCAAGCATTCGGGGCAAGATAAGTTCAATGGATTTCAGTTTTCGGACTTTTTCGCCTTGGTCAAAAGGAAGAAGAACGGGGTGACAATAATGAATGGTTTATCGTGACAACCTTCTTTTTCTTTGCGCGTGTATTATGTGCAGCTGAAGCCGAGAAAGTGCTTCAAGAGGCGCAACAGGCTGAGTCTGCAGCACTGTGGCCTGGCGCAGCATCGTCAGACAGTGAGCTTTTGTGCCTGCGTGCAGAAATTGACATTGCGCTTGGCAGGTGTGAACATTATCGGGAAAATAGCACTAAGATTCCCAAACATTCTCTCTCTCTCTCTCTCTCTCTCTCTCTCTCTCTCTCTCTCTCTCTCTCTCTCTCTGTCTGTGTGTTTGTGTGTCTGACACTGTCTGTCCATGTCAGAAATGGAAGAAATTATTAGAATAGAGATAAGAATCATAAGATAGATATTTCACAAATTGAGCAATGTATATATGATTTTTTCGAATAGCTTTACTTACTAATTCTAAAAAAACATATATATTGATTGGTCTGTGTGTTCGTGCGTCCGTCCATGCATCCGTGCGTGCGTCCATCCGTCCGTGCGTCTCTCTCTCTCTCTCTCTCTCTCTCTCTCTCTCTCTCTCTCTCTCTCTCTCTCTCTCTCTCTCTCTCTCTCTCTCTCTTTGTGCCGACCTCCCCTTGTACTCTGTTTGTGGTCAGTTTGTGTATTTGTGTGTGGAGACGTGTGACAATCTCGGTTCTCTTAACAGGATTTGGTCAGATGGCTCAAAGTGAAAACACATTGAGCCAAATCCACACCTCATACTGACCTCATAACAGAATTTGATCGGATGGCTCAAAGTGAAAACACATCTCTGATGTCGTAAGAGGTAGTTCTCCTTGAAAGATGTCATATCACCTGCGTGGAAGTAACGTTCTCCAGGAAGACTGTGAAGTTGTGTGAATCCAAGTCGGCGTGAAGGGAGGAAAAAGAGCAAAAGGAGTATGGAATCGGCATGAAGAATGGAAGGGGTAATATCTCCACAAAGGGGTAGAAAGTCATAGAGTGAGACTGCAGAAGATCAACGAATGAAAGAGGTAATGGCTCCAATGACGGACTGTTTCACCGGACTCTCAGCTGTTCATCAGAACTTCGAAACTTTGCCAGTCTGGCAAGTGCCCAATTCTTGCTTTGGGTCATAATCTGCCTTGATCCCGTTTACTCGTGGCTGTCATCGAGTGCCAGCCAAGTGATGCCTATAGTGAGCAGCAGTCACTCCCTAGCCATCCATCCATCCATCCATCCACCAAAATACACAACCAGCAAGATGCCCATGCAAATATCCATGAAATATGCCAATCGACTGGACATCCCCTATCTGGGAACAACACAGTAGCCACCCAGCAGGCAATCCAGATATCCAGACAGCCAGCTACTTCACCCTGCCACTAGCTCATCTGCCCAATTTCACACCCAGCAACCCAGCAACCCAGCCACATGTGCGCGGGCAAACCCCCTGCGAGATGCCTGACCAATGGCTCTTGAATCTGTCCGGTTAATGACGACCTAGCTTTACTAAATTACTACCAAGAACTCTGAAGTGGATTATATCAATGCAACCGAATGCTAACCTTCTGCAGACTGTAGGTTTATGCCACCCTCGTAACCAAGGGAGCCTGTAGAAGTAGATCGACAGACTTCCATAACAATGAGCGTGATATGCAGCAGAGGGGCGGATTCAAGCGACAGACATGTTTGATGTGATACACATATAACACACATAGCAAAGACATACCATAAGACATCTCAAAGACCTGCCACAACTCTCTCTCATTCTCTCTCTTCCTCTCTCTTCCTCTCTCTCTCTCCCGCTGTGTCTTTCCTTCTCTCTCTCTGAATCTTTTTCTTTATTTCAATGTGGAACCCAATATGACCACAAATGAACTTGTCTCATGTCAAGGATACAGGTAACGCTGAACAATTGAGTCATCAGCTAGCAACACTAGTTACAAGCTAAAGATCAAGATATCCCTCTCACTCACATATGGTACTATGGTTGACTGTTTCGAAAATCTCTCTCTCTCTCTCTCTCTCTCTCTCTCTCTCTCTCTCTCTCTCTCTCTC